TTCTTCGAGAGTCCGACTTCAAGTTTTCGTTGTGCTAGGTGGCTGTTTTGTTGACCAAAAAAGTCGAACACTGCTGCGTTAGGGTGTGCAGAGAGTATCCACCAAAAGACGGTGGAATTTAATAACAGTACGATTTCTTGATAACACTTTGTTATTCATCGTAGCAATTCCCATCAATATCAACCACTTTCCGCCGACGTTCTACGAGACCACGGACGGTAAAACTCCGTTGACCTAGAAGCATGAAAGCTCCAAGGTCATTTTTAGATTGGTCCTGAACATCGTAACGCTTGCGTTCCAGGTAATGCTGATGCTGGTAATGGAGGAGTTGGTAGCCGCTCGTGCGGGCTGTAGAATGGGTGCAACATAACTTTTCATCCGAGATCCGGAATTTTCTTAAAAGTCTCTTTCGCGATGCAAACGTACATATCGCGAAGTAAGCGAACTTTGTCCAGCTTTGGATGATCTTCCGCATCTTGTCGGCCAGTCAATGTAGCTGAGTACAGTAACCGTCATGTTATCTGGCACCCCCTCGAATTGATAGATGCCACTAATTCTCCACAAGAGTATGGCCTTCACCCCACGTATTCTTCCATCTACGAAAGATTTCGACATTTCAGACCAGGCAGGCTCGGGTTCATGTAGAGAACCCGTTTTTAATCTTCAGTAATGATGGTGAAAGATGCAATTGCTGAGAGCACATGTCCAAGGCTAGTCATTGCTATTGGTCAGATAATGCGTTCGCAACTGACCGTGCTTTTTCGCAATTCGAAACATCGTAGACCATTTCCCTCTTTTCTCTGACATCTGAGGAATATTTTTAATGGGTTTCTGATGAGCTGAAAATGGCAACGAGATATCTTACCTATTCGTACTTCATGACACGTTATTCCGCCAGCTTCCTCACTTTCCAGCGATATCGCAGTAACTCGACCAAAGCGGGGCTCATCTTCGAATTAATTGATCCCGGCATCTGAGCGTTGGAACCAGGCACGCACAGACCCTCAGAAGAGACTCCCAGAGTCAAATCGTTGAGAGAAGTTTCGAAGAAATGCAGCGGAGTGGGAGGGAGAACTTGCAAAAGAGTTCTTGCCGAATATGTGTAGATACATAGCTCGGTCAATATATCCTCCTATACAGGGCGTCCCAAAAATATGGGCGCCAATGCACGGCAATGTATCTAGAGCTTCTAGGCTGAGGATGACAATGTAATCTATATACACGTTTGTAAACCTTATGTGCTACAACATGCTACAATCACCATTTCAATTTATACTCCGTGAGCACGGATAGAGGTCCAACGTTTTACCACGAACTCCTCCCATGTTGCACGCAGGTAACTCCACCCACACGGAGCCAAGTGAGTTAAGATCTAGAAAGCAGTATGGCCATTTCTCTTTGCTTATAAAAGAAGGGCAGCTAGCGTTAGCACCACTCCTGAAGGAGCTTGGCCATGTGGGCTCCTTCTAGATGGTGTTTCAGGAAGCACAGTTAGGTCAGTGCTCCATCGTTCAGCAGAATGCCTTCAACATGTATTTGTCTACTTTCGCGCCGGCACAGACGACCATTTGCTGTTCTTATAGCAACGTTTTCTGTGATACACTGCATATTTGATGTTTACAGCCAGATCGTGATCGTTTCATTGGTTGAGGATTGCTTTTGTCGTGGAAAATTTTCTTGTCAGAGAAAACGATGGTGTGCCATTGCCGCCACTCAAGTGACTAAGCATCCTTCTGCATTTTTGAGTCCTGCGCTGTCTGCTGATGGTGAGATCGGAAATGTAGCGGCATTTTGCCTACAATAGTACAGCTCGACAGTCTGCCCCACCAACAACTTCGATAGGTCCTGCTCCTTCGCTTCTTTTTCCATGGGTAACCTCGGATCACGATCGACTCAAACAACACTCAAATAGACCAATTTTGTAGCCCTATTTTTGGTGACACTGGCTTTTCTACCACTTCCTTGTTTGTCTTTGATTGAATCTTCTTTTCTTGAATCTTCTTCTATTTCAATAACCTTCTGAATATCATTGAAATCACAAAAAATTTTGTGATGCCTTTTCGCCTGTCGCATGAGTCGAGATCGGCATTGAATGGTTCTCTGCCATCCAAAAGATATTGGGAGTTTCACTTTAGTAGATATGCATTTACAAGAAACATACTTGTGATACTAAATAATATTGAATTAAGTGAATTTGATGACAATGACAAGACAATGGTGAGAAGGACTGATAACAAGTCATAGTGGCTCATAGAGAGCTATAGAAACCGCGAGCCACTAAGTAAGTCTGCTACGCTCTATGGGTCAATAGCGAAGACTTTTCAATTTTGTAGTGGAGTGCAGTGAAAATGATCCGTAGATACTTAGCGACAAGGAATGATAACATTTGATAGTAACTAATAGGGAGCCATAGAAGGTAGGAGCCGCAGGATTCGTAACGCCCTTCGTGTTAACGGTGCTACCATGACACTTCGTAGAGTGATGTGGGATGTCGTCATTAATCACCAAGTCGGTTACGGTCTTGGGATTAAATAATAGAAACTTAAATCTGGAGAGCCATGTGGAGTGTGATGGAAACGTGGATGGTTGGCCGATAAAAGACTATAGGTTCCTATGGAACCCTAGGTGTATGTATACATCAAAGCCTCGACAGTTTGATTTGTTTCATACGATGAGACGAGCAATCGCCAATCGACAACATCAGTGGATTTCAAGGTTCCAGTTTTAACCAGATTGCTATGTTATAGAAAAATCAGTGCGCCGGTAGACACAGTAGAGGGAAATTGAATTCTTAATTATGTTCATGAGTAGGATAAGGGCACGAGATGGGGACTGTAAACGTAAATATTAAGCATATTTGACCCGTGCCGAATTCACAGTGCCCGCTTAGTTGGGTGGATTTTCCTTAAAAAAATTCAGTAGTAAGAAATGAATAATTTGTTCATGAGGGAGAGTCGATCGGCCACTCTGACTTTCTAATAGAAAGTAGGAGAGTTCGGCGTAAGCAGGGCGATCTGAGTTGTGATTAAATAAGAAAATAAAAGGTAGACAGGATACGAGTGTGTAGCGCCCTTTCATGGAAAATTCCAAAAAAATTCAAAAAAAGTTCAAAGTGAACCATGAGGAAGAGAGATCGTGAGAAACGTCTTGAAATTGACGAATCTTAAAGTAAAATGCAAAAAAGGATATGTCGTTCGAATGGTATCGCCTGAACTAAAGCCAAATGGCTGCTTATAAAAGAGTATATTAAACCTCAATCAGAAGTGGATGGTGAGTTCACTGTCTCGAAACACTTACTCTGCAACCTTCCAAAAGGCTTGCGTTATCCCTGTATTTAAGGTAAAAATTAGGTGTTCATTTGAGAAGCATACCTGAAAAACTGAATTCGACTTCGAGTATTCTCCAAATAACGAGCGCAGTGACAGTAATTCGAGGTGAGATCGACCTTTTATTTTGGCTCGGTATGAACGAAAGTTCAAGCGGAACCACCAAAATCATGAAACATTCAAACATGTAAGAGTGAGGGTGAGCGAAGATTGAAAGTGACCACCTCAAACGTCGCCAACTTCAATTCTCCTAGCGGTAGCTCTTACACTGAAAACATCAAAGTCAAAACTCTAATTGAATTTTGTCGTTCAACGATACCATTCTCTCCAGCTTTCAACTTTACCTCTTTCTTTAGCGCGTGTGAGCCTAATTTCCGATATATAACACTTTATCTATCCTTCGCAAGAATGATGTAAAGCGAACGCCTAAAACCGCCGTCATTTGAGATCATTTCGCATCACTTTTGAATGTATGGGAGAACTCGGTGAAGAAACAATCATTGCTCTCGAAGTGTCATCTAGGACACGATGGATTCCTCTCTACTCCCCAGTTGTGAGGATCGCACATACTCTACGCTGGTGAAGCATGCAGCACTCGGGCTGGATTACACGATAAAATCTAAAAGCCTGTCGCCAATTACGCTCAAAACCCTGGCTCGAAGTCTCTGTGCTGCTAAAATGCAATTACCGACATCTGTAAGACTTACAGACTGTGTCGTAGGAAAAGTAAGCAGAGGTACCGGCAACTGCTGTAACACAGTAGTCATATTGACCGAGCGTTGAATGGAGGATAGTCATAAGAACACGAGAGAACGACTGTGTTCGAACTCTACACTACATTTATCTCTAAGACTTACTCTTCGACACCACGAGAAACTATCTATCAACGACTGATCGTGAGAACATTTCTGTCTTTCCACCTCTGGTGGTGGAGATGGTTGGCATCGAGACGTCTGATAACAATCAGGATGAATCAGGTACCACGTTACTTTCATTTCAATGTCGAATTGAAGGTGTAGGAGAGGCCAGTCGTATTGTTGCGCCGTTTTCTGAGGGTTTATCGAGGAATGGAAACTTTCTTTAGGAGCGGCTTCACTCCAAAACTATTCTATCATGTCGATTCTTTAGAAGTCATAGACCAAAATTGCTTATACTGAAAGGGTATGCAAATGATGCTCGTCAAAGCGAAGAATTAATTTTGATCACATATGTATATATCATATTTGCACAGCTTTCACTCTTGATTCTATTATGGGTTTACATTATTCCTCGGCATAGAGCGCTGTTCGGTTTGAACGCAAAACTGCCTTTTACAATGGGCATGCACTACACGTCGCTATAGCCTTCGTTTCCCTTGCTTTTACTGTGACCCTTTCTCTTCGCTTTTTTTCTGCAGTAAGTCACTGCTAGTTTGCCAAGGAAAATAGTAACAACGGACTCAAGTATGTGCTGCATAGAATATCATGAACTCATCCAGTGAAAACTAGTTACTTGCTGATCTGCAAATGAACTAGTGAAAACTCTTCAATAGTGGAGTTCTCTTCATACTGTTTGAAACCGACAGCGGTCGACTTATGATGCTGAGAAAGCTCAATTTCTATTGGTCTCCAGATAGAAGCAGGACTGCTTGTGAACCTTGTGAATGAACATGATAATATTGTTTATGTTGCAGGTATGAGCTCCCATGGAGACCTCCAATACTACAAACGCCCGGATCAAATAGATGACAAGATGGCAAAACGAATTCGGGATCTCGAGCAGCTAAAGGTATGTTACCTCTATGGAGCTTTAAATAACAGGGGATGAGATTGTTCGCTAGGGAAACTGAGCTGTCGCTCATTTGGGATGCGTTATTGGCTCGTGGTGATATGCTATAACGCAAAATGATGTCATTTAGTTTTATCAATGGTGCAAATAGGGAAAGTATGTAGGAGTTGTTCTAGAAATGTGATGGAAATAAGGATCCGTACGATATATAAATTCCTTACTGTCATTACTATATACAAGCCATACTATATATGAACCACTAGTCAGACTGCCCGGCTAAAGCCGCTCTCTCCTCCCTCTCGTGTAAAGTTGGTCTGCCACCCACGTCTCTTCAAAATTCAGATTACAGAAGGAATCGAATTATGAAATTCCTATCAACTTTAAACGATCTAGACCCATCCAGATAACACAAGCACCAACGTACACACCGACACACATAGGCCTATCATCACTTCTTACTTTTTCTTCCTGAAAGAATGAGTTGTGAGTAGCAGCCATACATATATTGTGCAGTACACATCGAAACTGTTTGAAATCGGTTGCCACTATCGATCGCTGCGTTTAGAGCTGTATTCCCTTCAAATGTCTTCATCTTCCTTAGAGTTGGAACACTATACCACTAAAGGGAATAAAGTGGTCACTTATCGTTCAGTTACACAACGAATAGGTGTAGCAAATCGAATATCGGCCAACAACCCCTCAGCCATTTGGAACGCTTCTGAACAGGATCACCGGCTTCGGGTTCCACGCTCTGTCCGTTGTCCAGTCTTGCCGACTGTCTCTATCCCTTCTGAATTCGATTGCTCTGGCTTTAGAGAGCAATTTTTAGCACATCCCACCGCCGGTGAGCGGTGTCTAGTCTGTCAGTCTCCTATGATCATTGTTCTCATTATGCCGCCTGCACCCCTTCCAAATTTGAACGCTTCAATCTGAAGCAGCAATTTTCGTACATGCCCACCCTGAGTGGGCAGATTCTGGTCCTGCCACATATTATCAGGCTTCCCTTCTCTCCTGTACTCCTACCAAATTTATACGCCTTAGGTACACGGGAATGGAAATTGCGTTGTTAATTGTAACTCCGCCTACTCTTGTGCAAACCCCGCCCACTATGGAGATTCGACCACATTTCTCCGGATGCCTCTGCCCACCTTTTTTCCGCATTCTAGAATGTTTTTTATAAAGTTATGTATAGTTTAAAAGGTATCTTCTATTTGAATGCATGCCCCACCCATTGTAGGCGGAGCTTCGCTATGGTTATTCACAGCGTGTATTAGGTCTTGTTCACTCCTTTTGTTTTTTTTTGAGCTCTACGCCTTAGTTGAATCGAGTTATGAATAGGACCATGTTCGGCTTTCTCTTAATCTCGGCATAGCTGAACTTGTCTCTTGAGATGTTCAAAGCCTTTCCGAGATTCACAAATTTATCCAGCTTACGTTTCGGCCTCTTCGCCTTCTTCAGAGCCTGAAAGCCGAAAAACAATT